ATAGATAATAAATAGACAAATAATCTCAATAACTGATGTTATAAAAATATGTAAATGTGTAAAAGTAATATCTATCTATATATAATGAAAATATTTTTTTCTTATTAAGAAAAATATTTGCACATATTTAAAAAATGTATACTGCATTTAAACTGTATATTACTAAAGTAACATTTGGTCCCAAACTATAATGATTGACAAAAATGTCCAACCCTGTTATTTTCAAACGTGTTATCCACTTGCAATAATTGCTCATGTAAAATGCGTACCCATTCTGACAAACTCATGAAGCTTATTTATATATTTAATGCAACCTCAGTTTAAAAATAATTTGTCTGATTGTTAAGCACCTCCTTTCACTGATCATGTGCTGAAAAAGAAAAAAATGACTTCATTTTTAAGGTCCTGTTTTGAACCGTATGTGTGAAAGTGCCAGCTATTTGTTGTTCTGCGAGGACATTTGGCTGTTTTGACTTGTGAACCTACCCTAAATCCATGAAAGAACAGGAGAGTGCGAGCGGATGAGCGCTGGGGTGTGTGTCGTGAGATCATGTTCTTTGGCAGCACAAACCGATATCAGAGGAGCTGGTGACGGTGTGTTTATGTGTGGCTGGATTAGTTCGAGGGTGGAGTATCAGGACCAGCAGTTTCCCAAACGACATTATGTAATGGCACTACGTGACATCACTCACAAGTCTAAGCCTTTATTGTTTAAACAATAATGTTTAAACGCCTTATATGCATTCAAAGAGTTAAATGAGACCGAAGTATGTGTGCATTTTTGAGTTAGTTTGGTGGCAAAACTATCCCTAGTAGTGAGCTAAATCTGACAACACCCTCACATGAACAAAATGGTTTATTATCTATAGAAGGAATATATTTTTCTTTAAAATAATAATAATAGTCAAAAAAACCTAATAACAATATAAATAAAAACAACATATGTCCTCATTCAGTTAAAGGGTTAGTTCACCCAAAAATGAATATTAGGCTGTGTTTTACTCACCCCCGAGGCATCCTAGGTGTATATGACTTTCCTTCTTTCAGACAGATCCAGTCGGAGTTATATTAAAAATTGTCCTGGCTATTCCAAGCGCTATCATTGCAGTCAGCGGGTGTTGCAGTGCTTCAGTCCAAAAGAAGTGAAATAAAAAGCACCCATCCATAAAAAAAAAAAAGCATCTCACACGGCTCCGGGGGGTGAACAAAGGCCTCCTGTAGTGAATCGATGCGTTTTTGTAAAAAAAAAAAAAAAAGCATATTTAAAACGTAATAATCAATTTAATCTAGCTTGCGCTCACTGTTGTAAACGGAAGCAGCTCCGGGAGGATGAAGTAGGACGTCGGCGTTGCGCATGCGCCGCTCAGAAGTGATGAATGCGGAAACGCAGCAGAGAGATCAAAACAAAACAACGGTCACTAATTAGAAGTACAAAACAAGGATTTGTAAAGAAGAATGTCGGAGGACATCAATATAAGCCAAGAGGAGACTGGTTTTCCTTTGCTAAAGTAAGGAAACTTTGCTTCCTTTGCTCCTGTTAACAAACGTTGGTTTTCACAAGACTCACCAGCACATGCGCAACGCTGAACTCATACGTCATCCGCCCGGAGCTGCTTCCGTGTACAACTGTTGGCGCAAGCTAGATTATAAATTCATAATGTTCTGCACTGCAAAGAATAAATATCAGTATTTTTGTTTTCCAATTCAAATACCTAAACATCCTTGTTTTCTGAAAAACTGAACAAAATGAGTTTGTTTAAAACAAGAACAAATATCTGTCGGTAGGTATAAAAACTTGTTTTCCCTTTGAATGAAGTAGATTTTTCTGACCTCATTGACAGATATTTCTTCTTGTTTTAATCATAAACTCACGTAATTTTGAACAAGACAAGAATACTGATGCTGAACAGCACTTTTTGCTGTGTTTTAAGAAGGTACTGTAAAAGTTTCCATATCCTATACTCTTTATGTAAGATTAATTAAAAAAGAATGGAGATGGAAGTTGTATTTTCAGACTGTTTGCTAATACAACTCATTGTGTGCTAACTTGATATAACTCAATATATTTAATATTCTGCTTCTCAAGTAAGTATTTCGATTTTGATCTAGGATTTAATGTTTTCTGTGTTTTTGTGTCTTTGTAGGCTGTAAAGTAGAGTTACCATACATCACCTGTTCTCCAGGAGAGTCTGTGCTGCTGCCCTGCAGTGATATAAACTCAGGTCACGCTGAAGTCCAGTGGTGGATTTTTGATTCTCAGAAGCACACTCCTCAATACTCAGTGTTTCCAGTGGACGCTATTAAGGGTCAGCGATACAAAGACAGAGTTCAGATTCACAGGAATCTCTCGCTGTCCATCACTCGACTCACTGTAGACGACACAGGATTGTATTGCTGTAAAACAACAGAGACTGACGAAAGGAGCTATGTTCAGCTAATTGTTGAAGGTGAGGAACGTTTAATTTCATAATAATACAAACCAAACATAAGATGCTTATAAGATGCGAGACACTACAAAAACTCCTATCGGTCACTTTTGAGATTTTGGGTTATTTGGCTTTTCATAAAGTGTTGTTACAAACTAGTGGAAAGAAAACATACAAAAAAGTGTTTCTTCTTCTTCTAAGTGTTCATTTTATTGTACTTTATCTATTTGTCTAGATTTCAACTCCAATCCATTTCTCCAGCAGCACTTAAGCACTTACACACACCACACTTACAGGGTTAGTTCACCCAAAAATGAAAATTAGTGTGTTTTACTCACCCCCGAGGCATCCTAGGTGTATATGACTTTCTTCTTTCAGACAGATCCAGTCGGAGTTATATTAAAAATTGTCCTGGCTATTCCAAGCGCTATCATTGCAGTCAGCGGGTGTTGCAGTGCTTCAGTCCAAAAGAAGTGAAATAAAAAGCACCCATCCATAAAAAAAAAAAAGCATCTCACACGGCTCCGGGGGGGGAACAAAGGCCTCCTGTAGTGAATCGATGCGTTTTTGTAAAAAAAAAAAAAAAAGCATATTTAAAACGTAATAATCAATTTAATCTAGCTTGCGCTCACTGTTGTAAACGGTAGCAGTTCCGGGCGGATGACGTATGAGGTCAGTGTTGCGCATGCGCCGCTCAGAAGTGACGAACGCGGAAGCGCAGGGGAGAGATCAAAACAAAACAAC